ATTTGCAGACGTTCGGCAGTTTTGGCTTGCCTTAAAGCGGCCATGGCGGTCTTGGGAGGACCGGCGTCGGGGTCTAACTTGGGCCTTCGGATGAGACTGAAGCCGGCACTGGGTGTCATGCGGGAGAAATGGGGCTGGGACTTGGGTTTAACCGCCTTTGCTTCCCCACCAACCGGTCGAAGTGACTCCGACTTCGGCTTCAATGTTTCCTCATCACTGCTGTTGATGAACTCCGCGCTCACGACTCTGGTCTTCTTTGGCCTGGCTTCGATCGAGTCCCCTTTTCTTTTTTTGCTTTGGACTGGGGCAGCGGTGTCGTTAGGCTGGGTGCTGGACCCGGCCTCGGGTTTCCTTCGCCCAGACTTCGTCTTACTCTTGGACTTCGTTTCAGCCGCTGGCACAGGATCGGTTGATTTTGCCCGACGCGTTGGTTTTGTTGGGGCCGGGAGCGATGATGAAGCTGTCGGTACCGGCAATGGGGGAGTTGGGACTGTGACTGGGAGCAATGAATCGGTCGAAGATGGAGGTAAAGGGGGAGAGGGACCGGCATAACCTTCCATAAAGAAGGTAGGGGCGGTGGGTTGTGGGATCGAGAACATTTTGGTCCAATCAACCGATGGTCCCGCTTGGGCCATTTCCGTGTACGCCAAAATCCAAGGGTGGTTGAGCCACTGGGCCGCGTTATACCACATATTCTTGTCGATGAGCAAACGTACAAATCGTTCCTGTAGGAGAAAGAGATCCAATTTCAGTCAACAAATCATTGTTAGTCACTCACAGCTTTCCCGTATGCATCCTCTTCCACCGTCCGTTGGTGGGCCAGAAGACCTTCCCTGTGACGGTTGTAAAAGTTCAAAAGCGTGGAGGTGGCCACCCTAACATCCTCCAAGAACCCGGGAGTGAGTGTATGGGCCTGTTGAGCGGCTTGAGCAAGTTCAGCAGTGGACATGGTAAGTGGGAATGGGACGATCGAGGGTGGTGAATGTGCGCGTCGGAATGGGACAATGGTGAATGTGAAATTACGAAGTTGTAAACGCGGTCACGTGGTGGCGTTACTTCAACCGAGATCCGTACAATGTTCAACCGAGATCCGCAGAATGTTCCATGGCCGATCTGCAGTGGCTTGCTTTCCCACCGTTGAAAAACAATGCGTCTTCATCACCAACCACACAGTGCAATCCCAGGAAAAGCTATCTACTCTCTGACTGATATGTCTTTAACAAATCCAGGTATTGTCCCTACTCCACACCAAGGATTGTCTACTTAATGTAGATAAACAGAAGCTGTGATGAAAGACCAAGAAATGAAGGATGGTAAGTTTTATGA